AAGCATAGTCGATCAAAAGTCTGCTACTAAAAATAAAAAAATCAAAACTGCAAAAAAATGCAAAATCAACTATATTTTACAAAAAAATAAAATATAAGAACATTATAATTGATTTATACAATTGGAATCAATAAACAAAAAAACCAAAAAAAAAAAAGAAGATTGGAGTCGATCAACCTTAATCGATACCAGAGCATAGACATGGCCACGGGTCGGGTCTGACCCGGACCCGCCCCGGACCCGACCCGTTGACTGCCCCGCCCCGCCCCGAACCCGACCCGTTGACCATGGACCCGGACCCGGACCCGGCCAAGTACGGGTCGGTTTCGGGTCCCGACTTCTTGGACCCGAGACCCGCCGGGTCTACCCGCCGGGTGGACCCGAAGACCCGGACCCGAGGGCCCGGCCCGAGGACCCGTCGGGTCCACCCGGATTTTTAATGAAATAATCACCAAAAATGCTGCAACTGGGGCTCGAACCCGGGTAACCAAAGTGATTCACTGACCACTAACCACCAGGCCAACCAATATGTTTGATCAAATATAGACAACAAATATATATAATATAAACCTATGGCGTAAATGATAAATATGTTAATAAATTATTAATTTTCATATTAATTATTATTAAATAATTTTAATTAAATAATTAACAAATGCAATATAAGAAAAATATATATAATCACAATTCAATACTTCAAAACATCTATTATTAATTAATATATCAATATAAGCTCCACTGTTGAAAAATATAAAGTATTGAATCAATTCAATATATAAACAAATGCGTTGACTTATTAAAAAATGACTTATGTTATTAAAATCGATAGTGTGAAAAAATCGAATGAAAAATAAAATAATATGTTTATTTAAAAAAACAAATTATAACCCATTTCAATTAATTTAAGTCGATTAACCTCAATTGTTGACAATAACTTATTAATATTATTGAGTATTTTATCATAAGATAATATAAATGGTGTTTATTTTAACAAAAATAGATTATATCCCATTTCAATTAATATTCTTACTTTAAAAATAACATTATATATGACTAGTATAATCAAAATATTATGATGTAATTTCTCTTTTAATAATTGATTTAATTTGTAAAAATCGTAGGAATTAAATTGTAGACCATATGATTTAATCGTTTTTTTACATATACATTTTATTCAAATATTAGAATCGAATCGTAAGATTTAAATGGATTAATCTAAAGTCCTTTTAATTTTGACATTATATTTGTTAATAATGTAATTAAAATGGTTTAATAATTATGAATATGAAAATAAACAATGCATTTAACATTATTTATTATAATCATTTCATACTGTTTTGTTTATGTTTATGTATATTTCTTGCAAGTAATTTCACAAATATTTATCTTGTCTCAGTGGTTTGGAATTCTTTTCAGGTGTCTTGTGACCCGGGTTCGAATCCCATCTATAACAATTTTGGACAAAATTTAAAAATTCGGTCCGGACCCGGACCCGGCCCGGAACCGGGTGGACCCGAGTGGACCCGGCCCGGACCCGGACCCGCCTTCCCGCGGGTCGGTTTCGGGTCCTCCAAAACTCGGACCCGGACCCGGCGGGTCCGACCCGGAACCGGACCCGACCCGACCCGGGGCCATGTCTACCAGAGCATAGTCGACTAAGAATCTGCTACTAAAAATAACAAATCAAAACTGCGAAAAAATGCAAAATCACCTATATATTATAAAAACAAAAAATATACAAACATTATAATTGATTTATCCAATTGGAATCAATAAATGAAAAATCCAAAAAAACTAAAACAAAGTTGGAGTCGATCAACCTTAATCGACTACCAGAACATAGTCGATTAACTTAATCGACTATGAATATGTACATAGTCGATTACGGTTTCAGCCAGCGCGAAATCCTCTACACGCGCCGTTATCCGCCCAATCCAACAAAAAACCATAAATATGCCTCCCATCGTCACCACACAGCTGCCACAATACACTATTCAACCAATCCCTAACAAGAATAAAATAAATAAATTAAATAATTCATGCAAATTAACATTTCAATGTCAAAAAAAAAAAAAAAAAAAAAACAGAAACGATTCAGTCATCATCTTCGACGTCGTCGGTGGAAACCACCGCCGCGAACTACAGATCCATCACCACCCTTCACGCGGCGGCGGGAGGCGGTGACAAACACTCTCCACCGCCACCACCACCATCAGTCGATGTCTTGCTTTTCTTCCGAATTTCACCCGAGAAGATAAGAGAGAAGACGAGAAGAGAGAAGACGAGAAAAGAAGAAGAGAGAACGGCAGAAGAGAGAAGACGAAAAGACGAGAAAAAAAAAAAGAGAGAATGGCAATGGGTTAGGGTATTGAAGAGATTTAATATTAATAAGGGTGGTTTGAGAATTATTAAATAATATTTGGGTAGGATATTAAGTAAGGGGGTTTTCTCTAATTATTTTTTTGGGGGTATTTTCTTAACTCATTTTCCTAGATGATGGGGTTCTTGCAAATTATGCCGATAATTAATTGTTGTTTTTGAGTTTTGTACAAGTATTAAGAATGTCAATAAATATATCTTGACTTTAGGGGAAAAAACACATTAAAAAGACTAAAATAACATTAATCATTTAACGTTGTGATAAGAGAGTGTTAATAGTTAAAGTTGAATTAATAAGGGCAAAACAGAATAAAAAAAAGGTGTGTATAATACAGTACTGGAAATCTGAAGTGACATATAATAATGACAAAAAATATAGTTATTATTTCAACAATCGCTTAAATATTATTGAAATATCGCAATTAAATCAAATTAATAACAATTGATTTTCATAATAGTTAATGATCTATTACCATATGACATCAAAAGCTAAATTTTCACGACTCGAATATTGTGTAGCACAAACGTAAGCAAAATGTCAGAATGAAATATTATTCTCATTATTACAATTTAGTATAATACATAATCCACCAATCAAGATTTAAAATTTTCTTATAAATCAACAAATAACACCAATTAATTGAATTACAAGTTTATTTATTTATTATTATTATTTTTTGAAATATCTAAATAAAATGAAGAGACTTCTTGTTTTATTTCTCCTATCACTATACCTAAACCACTCAATCAAAGCCATTCCTTCTCCAATAAGAAAAACCCTAGGAACCGAGAAAAAAATCGAGCGCAGAGCTTTTCCCGGACAAGAGTACGAGGTTCACATTGTCAATAAACTACCGATAAATAGTACATCCCCTTTGTATATTCACTGTGCCTCTAAAGATGACGATCTTGGTAATCACACGCTTAACCTTAACGACGATTTTAATTGGAGTTTTGCAATGAATTACGGGTTAAGTACGATGTTTTTCTGCCGGTTCAAATGGGAATCGAAGAATCAAGCGTACGAAGTTTTTAATAAACACCTCGCGTTTTATTGCGAAGGTTACAATGAAGATGGGGATATTTGTCTGTGGTCGGTTAAGGAAGATGGTTTTTATATTAGCAATGAAATTCCTCCTACTTCTTCGACACAGATTTATCGGTGGTAAATTAATTAGCCGAAAAATATAAATAGAAAGTAAAAAAGATTTGTCGATTTAGAATAAAACGGGGAAAGCCCGATATGATGTAATATTGCTTCAATATTCATTTTATTTCTTTATTTGAAAAATTAATGTTTGATATTCCTTTTTTCGTGTTTATAGATCTATTGGTGTCGATTTATCATTATTTACTTTCGACGAATTATTTAATTAATATATTTTAACGCATAAAGAAAAAAAAAAGAAGGTATCGTAATAAAACTTGTAATTGTAATAATATCTTATTGGATTTCCTTTTTCTCTAAATTCATGAAAAGGTTCAAGTTAGAAAATGAACAAAATCACATATAAAAGAACACGCAATTTTTTAATTATAACTAATAATTTAATTTATATACTTGAATTCAAGATAACAAAACCATATATTAAATGCAATTTATTCAAATAATTATATTAAATGAAAGGCCAGCCCAAAGTTCTCAATCGACTCAATGAACAGCACTTTGGACTCGGCCCAACAACAACAAAAAGAAAACGAAAAGAACTTAATGCAAAATCAAACGTGCACGAGTTCGTCTCTTAGAATAGGTCGCAAACCACACAAATCTATAAGTTAATGTAAACGAATTTGATTTAAAAAGTGTTGATGGTAAGGAATCGAACTTGGCCAATTGATTATTGTCGTAAATTCAACATCAAGTTATTCAATTATCATTAATATCATAATATCACAAGTATACGATACTTATTTAACTTGAAATTGAAAAAACCGAACGACACGAATTGAATTTTTAGCAACTTTGAAAAATTGCGATTCTTCGAAAGTCAAAAAGTAATTTTCAAAATATGATATGCTCATCATATATGTTATGCATGCTCATAAGTCATCTTTACAGTATTAGTCCTTGTTTGGTTGGGAAGATAAAATTATTGGAAATCAAAATTAAATAATCTTATAAAAACTCAAATACATTCCTTTTATTTAGGTAATGTTCTCTAATCTCTTAGGTCAAGATAACTAAATAAAATTGTTCATTTTACCCATAGTAATTATTATCTCTAATCTCTTAGGTCAAGATAACTAAATAAAATTGTTCATTTTACCCATAGTAATTATTACAAGTAAGGGTGAAAATCAGAATGAAATTTCCGAATTCCACTAATTTCCGAATTCCACTAATTTTGCCAATTGCAAAATAATTAATTTTACCAAATATAAACTTTAAATAATTTCAAAAATAACATGAAAATAAATATTTCACAATCTTAACTATACTACATATATTATAGTGATAATAATCTACAAAGCGATTTCTTTAGGGAAAAAAAAAATAAAATAAAAAAATGCAATTAAATTATAATTATGCCTAATTAAATTTTCTGCCCTTTCCATCTGCCTCTATATAAATTCTTCTACAGCTTTTCAAAACCCTCATCCTCTCTCTCTCTCTCCTCTCTTTCTCTCTCTACTTTCTCTCACACACACAAAAACACACACTAAAATGTCTATGAGCATGGCAACAAAAGATTCAAGCTGGTGGATTTTCACACTGCCGGCTTTTCTTGGTTCAGAAACCCTACTCGATCAGTACATAATCTTCTCACTCCTCGCCGCCTTCGTTTCTCTCGCTCTTCTCACCTGGGCTTTCACCCCCGGCGGAGCCGCCTGGAAAAACGGCCGTACCAGAGGCGGCGCCGCCGCCATCCCCGGTCCACGAGGCCTCCCCTTTATAGGGAGCCTCTTCACTCTCTCCGGCCGCGGCTGCTTGGCTCACCGCTCCCTCGCGGCGATAGCTTCCTCCATGAACGCTAAGCAGCTCATGGCGTTCAGCCTCGGCTCCACGCCGGCGGTGGTCGCCTCCGACCCTCAGATAGCAAAAGAAATACTGACATCCGTCCACTTCGCCGACCGCCCTATCAAGCAGTCGGCGCGGAGCCTCATGTTCAGCCGGGCCATCGGCTTCGCTCCCAACGGCACGTACTGGCGCCTCCTCCGCCGCATCGCCGCCTCCCACCTCTTCGCCCCCCGCCGCATTGCCGCCCACGAGCCCGGCCGCCAGAAAGACTGCGCCGCCATGCTGAGTGGCATAGCAGACGAACAGTCCCTCAACGGCTCCGTTACTCTTAGAAAACATTTACAGGCGGCGGCGCTGAACAACATCATGGGCGGCGTTTTCGGCCGCCGCTACGAAACGGCGGCGGACGCCGCCTCGCCGGAGATGAGGGAGCTTGAGGAAATGGTGAGGGAAGGCTTCGAACTCCTCGGCGCTTTCAACTGGTCGGATTATCTGCCGTGGCTTTCGTACTTCTACGACCCTTCCCGCATTGTCGAACGCTGCGAAACCCTAGTGCCACGTGTCAGAAAATTCGTGAAGAACATCATTAAAGAACACGAAGAGAGAAGTAATTACGGGAATGCCACTGATATTGCCGCTGATTTTGTTGACGTTTTGTTGTCTCTTGACGGTGAAGAGAAGCTCAACGAAGATGATATGATCGCCGTTTTATGGGTATTTAATTTAATAATATTTAATATAAATATATTATTATTATTATTATTTTTATTTAATTTATTTTTTAAATATTATTAATGATTATTTTAATGCAGGAAATGATATTTAGGGGTACGGATACGACGGCGTTATTAACGGAGTGGATTATGGCGGAGTTGATACTAAACCCGGAGGTACAATCGAAGCTGCGGAAGGAACTAGACTCTGCTGTAACGGCGGCGGCGGGGGATTTGACGGACGCTGACGTGGCGGCGCTGCCGTATCTGCAGGCGGTGGTGAAAGAGACTTTAAGGGTTCACCCACCAGGGCCGCTTCTGTCGTGGGCCCGGCTGTCCACGTCAGACGTCCACCTCAGCAACGGGATGGTGGTACCCGCCGCCACCACCGCGATGGTCAACATGTGGTCAATAACCCACGACCCGGCGGTGTGGGCGGAGCCGCTCGTGTTCAAGCCGGAGAGGTTTGTGGCGGCGATGGGCGGGGCCGATGTGGACGTGCGCGGCGGGGATCTGAGGCTGGCGCCGTTTGGGGCGGGGAGGAGGGTTTGCCCCGGGAAGAATCTTGGGATGACGACGGTGGCGCTGTGGGTGGCGAAGCTGGTGCGCCGCTTCGAGTGGGCGGCGGATGAAAATAAGCCGGTGGATTTGAGTGAGGTGTTGAAGCTGTCTTGTGAGATGAAGTTCCCTTTGACCGCAGTTGCCTTGGAAAGGAATGTTCTAATTTAAGACCGTGTTTGGTTTGCTTAATTTTTTTTTTTATTGTCTTTTCTTTGAATTTTAATGTTTTTTGGGCGTTTATTTCTTTTTAATTAAAAATGTTTGGTAGGATTAAATATGAATGTTTATTAGTGAGTTTGGTGGGAAGATTTTGTGGGGAAGGTGTTGTCTAGTGATAATTAGCCAATTATATATATTTTGCTCCAATTGTTGTCTTACTATTTCTTGACAAGAGAGAAAGGGTAGGATAGTAATTTGTTGGCTCCCAATTTTGGTTTGGTTTGGTTTGTTTAAACCTATGGAGTCTTCATCTATATGTTTTCACATGTTTTATTGAAGGTTTATTTAGCAATTTATTTTGTTGTGTTTTGCAATTTTTGAAAGTGTAACCCTATTTTGCATTAGTAATATCATGATTTTTGTGAATCATATGTTTCTTATATTTGTGTGGATATTTTGCAAGATTTTCCAATACTTGTTTTAACATTGGCAACTCAAAACAAAATGGGGAGGCCAACGGCTTTGGCGTCGGTTTCTTGACGCAGAAGTTAAAAGTCGGAGCCTATTAGGGTTTTCAAGAACACCTGTACTATCAAAAAATATAACGATAACATATTAACTTAATATGCACCGACATCCGAGTCTTAAACCTGACATCCGAGTCTTAAACCTAATAAACTCTTGTGCATGGCATCATAAATGAAGTTACAACCGAAAATTGAGATGTACTATTTCGAACGGTTTATCCTACTACTAGTATGCAGCCGTAATCTTTTACTCATGTTGATGTGTGTAATCGTGTGCAAATTAAGAGTAATATAGTAACTAGTGAACTTCATCGGGTGAAGGTTTCGAAAGTAATTTCAAATTGTATATAATCACCATAAAAGGAAACGAAACATACGAGCTGTTGAAAATTGTGTGATGAAAGAAATACCACAATTGATTGAAGTTGTCGAAAATTTAATCGACGTTGATTATAAGTTTTACTTAACTAAAATATCTAATTAACTGTAGATAAAGTTAAATAACAAGGTGTAGATCAACGGTTAATAAACATCGAATCTAAATAATCAGATGTAACTTCTAATTTTCTACGGTCATTATTACACACGTCAATCTTCGAATATTAAATTATGGGGAGTTATGATTTTATAAGTAAGTGATTGGAAAGTTTGCACCCTTTAATTTCTCTTGTCATAAGTGAAATTGCAATAAGTAAATTTGAGTGGTTGATGTTAATATATAGCAATTCTGTGAACTAGTTCACTGCAGCTTTTTTGTCTTTACATATTTCTATTGAATTTCATCTTCTTTGCATTAATTTTGTCCTTCATTTATTTTTACTCATAAATTGTGTTGGAATATTAAAAAAACAAACTATCTAAATTAAAAATTTGTACTCTTTAAGTAGTTACTAATCCGTATTTTTGTCAAAAATTATAGTCGAAACAAGTAAAATCTTCCGGTTCATGTAGAAATACCATGTTTAATCTCTCAAAACGCTAGTTTAACATATCGCGGGTATGTGAACCGTGATCGGCCCATATTACACGAGACGGTTCATGGTAACCGTAAAATCGGGCAATGGTCATCATTTGATTTTTGGGTCGTGGATTCACAAGTCGAATCGGACGTGAGCATATAACTTGATTATAAATTAAACAATTTGACATATTTATAAGCGGGGTTTCATTCGTTATAAACTGTAATGAAATTTCACAACGCCAAAATTTCATGTCGTTTATCGAACCAAAATATGCTATTCGGCTATGTAACAACCAAGTTACCTAAATTTTGTCAAAACTATTTAATAATTAGTTTTTTATTCTCATAAAAAAAAATAGTAATAATTTTTTATATATTTTTATAAATTTCCACAATTGATTAAAGATTGAAGTTGTCGAAAATTTAATCGACGTTGATTTTAAGTTTCACTTAACTAAAACATTTAATTAACCGTAGATAAAGTTAAATAATCAGGTGTAGATCAGCAGTTAATAAACATCGAATCTAAATAATCACATGTAACTTCTAATTTTCTACGTTCATTACTACACACGTCAATCTTCGAATATTAAATTATTGGAATATATGATTTTATAAGTAGGTGATTGGAAAGTTTGCACCCTTTAATTTCTCTTCTCATAAGTGAAATTGCAATAAGTAAATTTGAGTGGTTGATGTTAATGTATAGCAATTCTGTGAACAAGTTCACTGCAGCCTTTTTGTCTTTACATATTTCCATTGCATTTCATCTCTTTGCATTAATTTTGTCCTTCATTTATTTTTACTCATAAATTGTGTTGGAATATTGAAAAACCAAACAATCGAAATTCAAAATTTGTATTCTTAAGTAGTTACTAATCTGTATTTTTGCCGAAAATTAGAGTCGAAGCAAGCAAAATCTTTCGATTCATGTAGAATACCCTGTTTAACCTCTCAAAACGTTAGTTTCACATATCGCGGGTATGTGAACCGTGATCGGCCCATATTACATGAGATGGTTCATGGTAACCGTAAATGGGGCAATGGTCATCATTTGGTTTTTGGGTCGATTCACAAGTCGAATCGGACTTGAGCATATAACTTGATTATAAATTAAACAATTTGACATAGTTATATAAGCGGGGTTTCATTCGTTAAAAACTGTAATGAAATTTCGTAACACCAAAATTTCATATCGTTCATGGGACTGGAATATGCTACTCGATTGGCTATATACCAACCAAGTTACCTAAATATTTGTCAAAACTATTTAATAATTAAATTTTAATTCTCATCAAAAAAAAAATTATATATTTTTATAAATTTCGAGTATACTTGTTGGCATGCTCATTCATGAATAACCTAATACAAAAAAAAAAAAAAAAAAAAAAAAAAAAAAAACAAAAAAGTAATAAATACATAAATAGAATAGTATATATTAATTGTAAAGGAAGAGCAGAAATTGGGCTCTATTACCAAAGTGGCAACAGTGAACATAAATAGCGGCAGAAGCGGTAATAGACTAGCTGGTCTTTGGTTCTTTGGCACGCCACCATCACACTTGTACTTTGATTTCTTATTTTTTTATTTTTTCTATTCTTTTATAAAAATATATATATTATTATTTAATTTTTTATTTCAATTTACTTGTATTTTTATATTCCAAACAACGGCACACGCATGCCAAAACTGTCAATTTTACAAATGTCGCCGACATAAATATTAAATTCGGACCATCATGACGTCACTCTTGGGATATGGGTATTTGCTTTACTTCACATCATAAATATTCGTTTGACAACAAATAAAAATACAACTATATATTTTAGGGTTTTAGTATATGATTTCAAATTAAATAAATTGTCACATTATTATTCGTAACTAACCTATTTGGTTTTCTAGAGCTATGAAATAGATACTGTAGTAATTAAATTGTTAGCACTGATTCGTGTTGTTCACCGGAATGTCACCGTACATTATCGCAGACACACTATCGTACCAGTTCCATTGCTGCAGTAGCGACCTGTCACAGTTGGAAAGGACATATATATATTTAATCATAATGCCAAAAAATATTATTTAAAACCAATGTTACAATACAATAAATGATATACAATATCTTATTACAACATAAAAATAAATGTTACAACAATATTGCATTAAGATTATGAAATTGCATGTAAAATTAATTATTTTCTCTCTTATTTTCAAGATAAAGTGTCACTAAAATGCTCTTCTTCTTTTTTTTTTCCTTTTTTTTTTTCTATTTCGTTCTAGTCCCGGTCGCGAAGTAGTTGTTCAGTGGTTCCGTCTCTCCCATTAATTCTGTAGATTCAAAGTAAGAATGTTACTGTGTCAAATTTTCCATTTCATACTTGAATGCAAAATTCATGCAATCAATATATATATAAATATATATGTGTGTGTGTGTGTGTTTTTTTATGTGGGGGTAAATATATGTACCAAATAAATATGCATGCGGTGTATAGGGTAAGTACGTGTTAGGGTGTACTGCATGCACATGCACATGAAATAATTGAAAAAGTAATTAGTACGTACAACAAACAAGAGCCGTACGATTTGAGTGTGATTTTCCCTGAGGCTGGGATTCTGTGATAGTACATCAGGAGATCACTCTTTTGATCCTACGTACAATATCATACATCCTAGAATCTTCTTTCAAATCTGCAGGCCTTTCTTGTAATTAATTATTATATTCTCAAAAAAGCATATTTTAATTAATCAATTAATTAATTAAGCACTAATTGAGCACATTTTCTTGTGGATTAATTAATATAATCAGGTTAATTAATGATCATCGGTAACCTATAATCAATAAACATTAGAACATGAATGGCTAATTAACTTAGAATAATTGTCGTTTTAGAGCGTAGTTTTGTTGTATATTAACTGTCACATTAACATACATTTATTTATTATATATTTTTTACCCTATTAATTTTAAGATATTCAATAAACATATTAATTTGTCCCTCAATGTTCCATTTATAGCATTATTGCATTCTACTGTACAATCTTCTATCTCAATATAGTTATTCGCTACATAATTTAGTTAATTTTATCTGAAACTTTTCATTTATTGGATGGAATATTCTATTGGTACAGAGGAATTATTTATAAAACTATAAATAAATTTGTAACTACTACAAAAACATATATAATTTTATTAGTTTTTTTAAATATTAACGTAAGATCATAAAAAGAGTATACATATTTTTTAGATAGATAATATATATATAGTGACATATTATAATTATTTCAATATATTTATAAATTCAAGTCATATATTCACAAAAAAAAAAAGGATTGGTTTTATATTAAACAAATATTTTGTAAAACTAGTAGTTTTTTAAGCTATATTTTTACAAGTTAATATTCTTTTCTTGGTCACAAATATTATTTTTAGACTACAAACTTTATTATTACTTGAATAAAATCAAATTATTTTTAAACTAACAATTGATTTTGAAAACGATTACTAAATATTATTTATTTTCGGTATTTAAGCGCGTCGTATTAAATGTGGAGTTTTTAATATGCATGGCGTTAAATAAATTAAGGGTAAATTAAAAAAACCCATCTGAGGTATGGTCAAATTACAAAAACCCCCATCTTGTTTGGATAATTACATCTACCCCCTCAACTATGATTTTTTCTTACACCTACACCCTTATGGTGCCAAATTCAACATAATCATCTAGATTCCGTGGAATGTGATCTAGTTTGTATTCGTTTTGTTTACAAATATAGTTTCCGATGCACCACAAACTGATATATACAAGCTAAAAATCACATATTATGATCATCTTGCTTCATAATGTAGAGTTTGAATGAGATAAAAATGGTACAAAAGTGATAATATTCCATATAATCTCGAAGATTCCACTAAATTTGAGGAGTTGAGGGGGGTTGTAATTATCCAAACAAGAGGGGTGTTTTTGTAATTTGACCATACCTCATGGGGTGTTTGTAAATTAAATATAAATGGTGGCAAGTAGTGAGGCCGTAATTAATTAGGACAGACGATATACAGTAGTACCAAAGAGTAACTGCATTTGTATTTCCATTGCTCAATCAAACTGTAATAATATATATTAAAATTAAATATATTTATTTATTTATATATAAAGTGCTCAGATATCGATATATATTAAAACAAAAGGCAAAACATTAGCACGTGAAAATTGCAGTTTGTTTTACTGCACACACAATCCCATCTCACTGCCATCACCCGCTGCGTAGTAACTACAATCCACATTAATTAACACGATAATAAATAAATAAAATTAGGGTTACATCTAAGAGAATATATAAATATTATTTCTTTTAATCGAGCAAATAAAAATATTAGGGTTGCATTTTTAACGGGACTGTGCATGGATCGGTTTATCGGACATCCGATCCACTTTTCACCCATTGCATATCCAATAAAGTCGACAATTATCTGGCCCATATGGTCGGGCGGGTAATGAATTTCAACTTTTATCAAAATCGGATAGTCGAGTCGGGTGGATCATTAGCTGATAATTACACGATCGACTCATGCTCAGCCCTAGTTATATATAAAACTAATTTAGGACTTATTCCAAAAATAGTTATATAACCCTAATTTAGGATTTATACGAAAAAAATAATAAATTTTCGTCGTGGTTGTTAATAGATATCGACCAGCACAAAGTTATTTGAAATGCTTTCGAAAACATGCTAAGTCGTTTCAGCGGACAATTTCTGCAATTATGTAATTATTTCACTAAATATTGTATCTTCTGATGGGTGTTCACGGGATAACACAAACTTTACATTGATATGATATTGTTCAATTTTGGCCAAGCTCAATCAATTTTGCTCTTGGATTTTCACAAAACCAACATCCCAATAGAGTTGTTATCCTCACATTATAAACCATTGTCTTTCCCGTATTAAATCGATGTGGGAATTGGTTTGCAACTCAACAATCCTCCACTCCAACAATGGATTACATAGGTCGATCCACCGAGCCTCCTCACAATTTGGGTCTGGGGCTCAAACTATCCTTTTTTTTCAGCGCATCGAGCCTCGAACAAAGGACCATCGAGCCTCTCACCTGGAGCTCGTCGAGCCACCTATAATTTGCGCACCGAGAGTTTACCATATTTATTCGGCACGAGGATTCCGGCAATTTTCACCACATAGTTAGATCTGGGCCATTACTCTGATATCACTGTTGGGTACCCGCTTGAACAAAAACGAACTTGTAAGTAGCATGCATCTTCTAACGATTTTCTTCCGTAATATAAATTTATCAACACTACTTTTTCTTTAATCCTTTCACATTGTTATTTCGTTAGGGTTTTAAGGTTAATGCACACAATCCTTGTACAAAAAAAGGGGGAGTGATGATGTTAAAGTTAGATCACCTTGGAGAGTTGAAATTGGATGATTTGGAAGAGCAAAGTGGATCACTGGCTCACGAGCTTGATGACCTTGAAATACCTACGGTCATAGAACACGTAAACTAAGTCGGGGGTTGATCAAGCGGCGACGCTCAAGTCAGACGTGCGGATAGTAGAAATAGTCAAGAGAATACATGTTGTAGTATTGCTCAGATAATATGACGTACCTTAAGGAATGAATTAAAACGTTTATTTATACCGCATTGATTGAGCCGAAGTTTAATTAGTTGAAATTGTCGGATTCAAAGCTTATTTTAAGGTGATTTGACTTTGGTGGTAGAAGCCTTCAATATTTAGCTCATGGTTTAGTAGGTTAAGAAATTTTATGTCAATTAATTGGATTGACCCAATTGAGCATATCGGGAGATAAATGAACTTTCAGAATATTTGAAAGGATCACTGGTGGAAATAAAATACATTTGAAGGGTGTCAAACTTAATTAGTTATAATTTGATTAAAAACATTTTTTATATACAATATATACACAAAATATACATATTATATATATTTAATTACGTGGGATGATTAGGGGTGTGGGTAGGCTATGGAAGGAGCAGCGATAGGATGAAATAGGGGCAGCTTTATTTATTTTGTTTTTGGAATAAATGCAGATGCCAACTCATTGGCTTCTTACCCTAACCCAATCACATTATCAAATCTATTGAAATGAAATGTGTGCCAACACAATCTTCATTCTCCCAAAAAATAATCATTTACTTAATTAGATTATTTTCAACAATTTATTTAAAAAAAAAAATCATTTTATGCCCCGTTTGGTTGGGATATTAGTGATTTTTAATGAAAAAATAGCACTTTATTTGAAGTTTGGTATTTCCACTATTATGTAGTCTTTTTTGTTAGTAACTTGTAGGTGACGAGATCTAATAAAATAATTGAGTTTTCATTGAATTATTTAATTTTGTTTTTCAATTATCTTGTATTGACAACCAAATCAGGCCTTTATGTATAACATAAAAGTTATGTGGAGTAATCAACATAGAATATAAAAAGCATCGTTTCATTGCACATGATCGTGTGATACTAAATACGAGTCGAGGGTTTGTATAAGCTGAAAATACATTCGACGTTTAACTTAGTTGATATGCACAACGAACTCAAGCGAATGAATACAATGTACCTTAATAAATAAGATATGGAGATTATTTATAATTAAGTTAGAGATTCATTAATAGAAGAATAAAACTAAGCAAAATCAAGAATCTTAATAGCCTCACACTAATCGAGTAATCAGATTGACCCATTAACTTATTAAATTACAGATTGATGGAATGAGCCTTACGGGATCACCCAAATCATTCTTAATAGGTACATTAATCTCGCGCCGAGTCTTGGTATTTTGCAGTAGGGGTGAGAAAAAAAAACCGAGGAACCGAACCGACATCAATACGACGTCGTTTCATTAAATATATATTTTTTTTTTACTTCAACGAATTTCATTGATTTTTGGGCCTGTTTTGGGCCTACATTTGGGCTTGTTTTTTTATTGATTTTTTTATTTCTTAATTTTGAGTTGATTTATTGACGTTTTTGGGCTGATTTTCGGGCCCAAATGAGCCCAAAACCGAACCGAAAACCGAACCATTATTGAAACCGAATCGAGAATTTTATGAATCGAGAATGAACCGAAACCGAACCGAAACCGAACCGAAACCGACCGGAACCGAACCGCAAGGAACCGATCGGTTTGGTTTTTTGTTCTTTAGGAACCGAACACTTCGGTTCCGGTTCCGGTTTGTGCCTATAACCGAACCGAACCGTTCTCACCCCTATTTTGCAGTGATTAAAGTATACTTTACTATTTATTATTTGAAAGAGTTGTTTCAATTTTTTCGTTCAATCATATTATTTTGTTATAAAAATAATTAATGTACTAATAGCTTTTAAAAAAAAATGGATTATAAGTTGAAGTACAACATAAAATTAATTTCATTGATAAGTTGGTTATTTTCAAAAAAATAATGAAACATAATATAATTAATTTATAATAGTAAATGTATTACTAGTATATTATAAGTTGGAAATATAAATGAACGTAAATATTTAATTTTTTTCCCTTTTTAAAAAACATTTATATTAATTAATTAATTATGTTGAAGATTTGTTTAGTATGAGAGTCAAAAGACAGTTCGTACAACAAAGTGTCCCCTGCGTTGACAGGTCAAAGGAAAGAGGCCAAAAGTCAGATTGTGTCTGAGAAGTTAAACTTAATTTGATTGGACTGCATACACGCCCATTCACGTGGTGGGACCGCACTCAAAATTCCTTTGACTCCTGAATTTATCCTACGTGGCACTTCCTACTGCCCCCGTGATGGCCACGTGGCCCTGTGCACATGCACGTTATTTACTTACAACAATACACGTGGAATATTGAAATAATTTTTTTTTCTTTTTCTTTTTTCGAATGATGGTTATCTTTTAGGTTTTCTTTTTTTTGAGAAAATCTTTTAGGTATTATAAAAAATAATTAATAGTTCGATTAAAAAAATTATAATGGCCTATATGTAATACTTATATATTTTTTATTTTTTTCTACTTATTTTTCGTTCTCAAATCAAATTTCTAAATCCGCAAATAAAATCTTAATCCAATTCTATAGTTTTTTTTTATTTCCTTTTTTTGGGTTCAAACTGTTACGTTTTTTTATTTTTCTTTTATCTATACTAGTAATACACCCGTGCGATGCACGGGGTATTCATCGTAAAACAAAATATTGAATAATAAAAAAGTTTCTCAAAATAGTGATATTAATTGTTAATAAGTAAAAGAAAGAAGTAAAACATATTCAAAAATAAAAATAATTTGTATGGTGTAAGTTCAAAATAAGTTGATATAAGTGAAAAAAACTAAACATCGAATGTTTTGATTTCCATATACAAAAGAGCGAATATATAGTTGGTCCCAAACTTGTACAACCATAATGACATGAACGTTGAAAACTTAAATTGTTTGATACCAACCGCCCTAAGCCCATGCAACAAATCCGATACAATGCAACTGACCTGCATATGTTGTAAAATGGTCACACGAAATATGTAAATTGTTACCAAAACAATAACAAAATAACTGTTTAATTGCATAAAATTATTGTAAAAAGATTACCTTCATGAAATATAGCGAGCGGAGTCCATAGCAAGTTCCTAGTACAATTAAAATAAACCTACGAATGAGGAAGAACAAAACATAAAAATAATAGATAAAAAAGGTCGTCAATAAATATTGTAATTTTTTAATACTTACCTTCATATACGCTGAAAAACTTCCTTGTATACAACATTATTTGTAACGTTGGTCGTATCACCAGATTCCGAGTTAATCAAAATCTTTATGCCACTTCGACTCTTAACCCTCGAGAGTGCGACATAGAGCTGTCCGTGACTGAAAACAGGTCTCGGCAAGTACAGGCCCACGTGAGAAAGAGTTTGTCCTTGACTTTTATTGATTGTCATTGCGAATGATACCATTAACGGAAACTGACGTCGCTGGAATTTAATAGGCAATGCAGAGTTGGACGGTACCAAAGTCATTCTAGGAATGAACACCATATCACCAACATGTTTACCGGACAGGATTCTGCAGTTGAGAACGTGTTTTCCCATATTAATAATATGAAGCCTTGTTCCATTGCACAATCCTCTGGCCTGATCGATATTTCTGATGAGCATAACGGGAACACCTCTTTTCAATGTCAACTTATGCGGTGAAATTCCGGAACATGATATGGTGTTGAGAAACTCCGGTGAGTATATTTCTGCGTTGACATCCGATAACAACTCCTCCTTGCACATACTATCTGAGCTGAAATAGACCTTCTCCTCTCCAGGTATGATCGACAAAAAATGATCGTTCACAAAACCGACACTTTCATTAGTGGGTGCAAGGATTGCTCTGCCTTCGAAATACTCGGGAGTGAAAAGGTTGGTCACCAGATCGGGATAGACAAACTCTATAAGATCCAGAAAGGGATCTGCAGAATTCCGAATCAGCATGTCATCGGGAATTTCAATTGTGGCATCACCGTCATTTATTTCGCCAGCATCGCCATTGCCGATTCTCAATATCCAGTCCGCAAATTCTCTTATTTCATCTTCATTGGCTGAAGAGGAGGACGACTCAAGTCTCATGTTCTTGTTTAACTTCATAACCTTGCATTGTCTCCACAACGGTGATGAATTGATTGTAGCATGCACAATGTCTTGTCTCGATGCTTTCAACACAACTGGCAGAATTTGCCGAAAGTCCCCTCCAAGCACTACAACCTTGCCTCCGAATGGCATATCTGAATCAAGTATAGATTTCATTGTTTTGTCGAGTGATTCGAAACAGTACATGTGCATCATCGGTGCCTCGTCCCATATGATTAGTTTTGCTCTAGACAACAATTCTGCCTGTGGGCTCTGTTGTTTGATGCTGCATGTGGAGCTCTCATGTACAATTATTGGCAGTTCAAATCTAGAATGAGCAGTTCTGCCACCTGGAAGTAGAAGCGAAGCAATACCACTGGAAGCAACATTTATAACTATTTCTCCTTTTGAACGAATAGCAGCCGATAAAGTTTTCCATATGAAAGTCTTTCCCGTTCCTCCATGCCCATAAAAAAAGAACAGTCCACCTCTGTCATTTGTAACAGCATCCATGATATCATCGAACACTTTTTTCTGCTCATCAGTAATGGATGAAAGGTATTTTTTAAGTTCTTCACGCATAGCATCAACGTCATAGTCCAACTCGTCGAGAACTAATCTATTTACCGTGTCGTCCGACATCGACCCAATTGGAATCAGCATTGGGGGAAAGTTACTCAGCCTTTTGCTGTTGCTTTGCAATATATTTTCTATTTCGATCAAAGCGTAGTTTCTCAGAGTATCGTCTGACACAGGTGAACCTTCAATATAATATAATATGAAAAAATAACATAATGTGGCGATTATAAAAATATATAGTTTTAATTCAAACGTGTGTAGTGAACGGTGTAAAAACGTAAGATGTATTCTCATACCTGAATTAGTACGACATTGTTGCAGTCTGTACGCAATATCCTCGGTGAATTCTTTCCAGCAACACTCCCACACATGTTCCGGTCTGCTCATATTATTTGCGACCAAAAGTACGACGAATAATCGTCTCACATAGTCACCACTGGCCCACTTGTTTGCCTCATTTATGCCAGCTATGTACTCCTTGTCGTCATCTAGTAGTCCAAGCGCAAAGCACGCATCTTTGAAAGTTGGGTAGACGTGATCCTCGACTTTCCTAAGATCATCGTAACACGTCCAACCTCTTTGAAAGTTCAACAACAGTCTCAAGTAATAGTCCTCACCCATGCCCGGCGGTACATTGGTAACCCTTCCGATCGAGAATCCTATCTTTCTCGGCATCCAACAGCGAGCTTTTTCCTTATAGAAAAATTTCTGTGGAAACTCTCCATACCTCAAATTTCTAGCTTCAGGGTACATCTTATTGGCTTGGAACTAAGCAAGGAACATCGTTTGCTTCGCAGTCGGTCTGTTCAGCACATCAACTAATGAGTCATTATCTGTGAACACTACAAACTGACTGTCCGGAAGATGAAAGCTTAACCTAATCACCGGTGGGTCTCTAAAGTGAATGTCAAACCTAAATAACCTCCAAGCAGCCTCGCATGCCGAAAGATATCGGCAGTCGTAGTACATCTTTATCTCATCGCGACATTCAGGAGTTGCACCTGGATTATTTGATTGATAAAATGCCGCCGTGACCCGATCGTGTCCTTTGTTGACATACTTGAATAAATACTTTATCGATTTATTCTGGTTGCACAACTCGACATTAATGTGTGCTCTGTACTTTTTCAGTAGAGTACGGTTATAAGGCACGACGAAACCATTGTCGAGATATGTTTTCTTCTTAACCACGGTCCTCCCATTTTCTCTTCTTCTGTACACCGGATAACCATCTGCATCTGCCTCAGTACGGTTTACAAAACTCTTTGGAAATCGCTTCGTGCAAATCCCGTCCTTCATGCATGGAGAGTTTTGATTGGCCAGACCGCACGGGCCGTGAATCATATACTTCTCAACCAAATCGTACATCTTTCGGTCTATTACCTTATCTGGGATTTCGGCACATATGATTTTATCTATGTCTTTTGATGTCTTCGGTTTGTCTTCATTGTGAAGCCAAATCAATATGTGCGCATGCGGGAGACCGCGCTTCTGAAACTCAATTGTGCAAACATCTGAACATTTTACATTTTAAACGTATTTGGTTAGCATTAATATACAAAAATATTCAATGTTTGACGTAATAAAATATTTATAATATTATAAGAGTAGACAATGTCTAAAATATATATTATGTTATACTTTTATCTTATAAATTGATACTTACGTGCTCTAATGCGACCAAATATTTTGCCCTTCTTCAAATCTGACATCAGACTGTCGAGCTTCATCTTAAAAACTCGAGCAAGAATATCGGGACGGTCTTCAGGTCTCAAATTAGTACCGCTCCACGCCCTTTGAATTTCCGGCCACTGTGGATTGCAGGTTATAGTGATGAACGACGATGGAAATCCAATCCAGTTGCATATTTGAAGAGCATCGACGAAGTTGTTAAACATGTATCTTGGACCTTGGGTAAAACTGCCTGGTAGAATAACCCTCGTGCCAATGGATCTAGCATCCGTATCTCCCTTCAAAATACTTTCCTCGATACCCTTGTACATTTCAACTCTTAACTTATCCTGGTTAAATCTTATGAATTTCAGTCTTTCCGATTCAACCATTGAAAATGCGTCGACCATGAACTGCTGGCACAATTTTTTTGAGTGCAACAGAACCGCGCTGTCACCAAATCTTTTTTGGATCCTATATGCAAAGTACTGCCGCATTGTTAACTTCTTGCGTATACGTGTACCACTCACTGATGTTTCCCTCAGTGGTATATCATCACTATAACCATCCTCGCCGTAAAGAAATATTAGCGGATACTGCAATGGAAGATATAAAGGGTGCAACTCACTGATTCGCTAGAGTTTTTTCGACCGTGTCTCAACCACTATATCTCTAACACCCTCCTGGGTATCAAAATCACCAACAATGAGTCCCGCGATTTCACTGGAGTTCGGGAGATTGTAAGTACGGCCATCCGTACTCCGTTTCTTTATGAGTCTCAATTTGACATCTTCCATTCCTGTCTGTGCGAGCCTGTCCCGGGCAGCTCTGTAAGACTGAGCAAGCAAATTTGAGCTGTCGACCATATCCTTCAATGTAGAAACAATCTCAGGATCCAATTCGCTGGAACTGTCTCCGGATCTGCAACGATAAAATGAAACATAAAGTAAATTTCTTGTAATATAAAAAAATAAGAACATATAACTGAAAGTGCTTTATACCTGACTGCATCCATTCGATTCTTGACTTCATTCTCCGTGTCAAATATATAAAGTTGAGCAAACTTGGGACGCGATCCTTCATCTGGCAACAAACTACCCATTAAATGGTAGTTTTGTCCATGGAGTAGGAACGTGTACGGACCGGATCCTCTGTTTATCGTAGTCTGTATCTTTCCTCCAATAGATGTGAATGAGAACATCATATTATACGACCGTATGTGTTCTTGGAAATGCTTGCTTCTTCGATCGGTACCAAATAGAAGAATCTTTAGGGGATCTGGTGCTTCTATTAAATTGGGCAATTCGACTTTTCCTCCATTACAGCACATTGAAAACTTAGGATTTGATCAACCCTTTTGCTTATCGATCCTTTCCCCGTACCACATCATTGCGCCACATGATTGGCATTCGTATGACTGATCACCAAGATCATCGTATTCTGCGTAGGAAAAAGACATCTGTTATTACGATGAAAACAACATGTTTACTTAATTAATATTGGAGTACTTACCATCATCGTCGTCGGAATCAGTGAATGTTTCGTCATTTGATACATATTCTGATTCTATTTAAATAAAAAATAATAATTATATCAATTGATTATTATGAACAATTTATTCAAAACGAACTTTACGTGATAAATGTGTTCGAAATTATAACACATACCTCCACTATCCGAAGTAATTTCCCGTATAGTCTGTAAATCTTCATCGACCAAAGTTACAGGTTTTGAATCCATATCCAAGCCACGTGCAACAGAATGTATGGTTTTTTGACTCTTCGATATCATCTTTCCGGTACGAACCGAATGACTGTAAAATATTCAACGAATAAAAAAATATTATACTTTTATAATGTTGGATATGGTAACATATTAAATACAAATGTGTTATATAATTGTATTAATGTTGTGTTTCATACATATTACGAAATGTACCTTTTGTTGGTTTCGTAGTATGTATTAACAGAAATATTTTGCACACTGCCAATGTTATGTAACCCATCTATCTGGTACGAATTAGTATCCGCTGGAAAAATTATTAAAGACATCCGTGAGAAAATGTTGAATAATTCTTCTAATGATGATAATTAATCAATAGAGTGCAAACCTTCACAATTTGCTGCAACATTGTTATATGTCATCTCACGATTTCTCTTATAGCTTTTTTTGTCATTAGTATATGTACTTGACATACTTTTAATGTTTAGAGTTCGAGTTTTTCCTTTATACTGGGCAACTCTCTTTTTGCTGACAGTGTATTCCAAATCTGTTTACATAATATATAAATGTAATTCTCCATTATAATTTATATATTAAATTATGCCACATATGTGTATACACAAGATATATCTTATTTCATTATAGGTGAAATACTATTTATATATATATATATATATATATATATATATATATATATATATATATATATATATATATATATATATATAATATAACTATAGTTTGAGGTTCGTCATTACAAATGGTAATGTTGTTTGTACCTGTTGTTGCGACATCCTTCACAACTCTTCCATTGTTTCTTTTAGTTCTACTTACTGAAACACATCACAGTAATAATTTAAATTCATTTAATACAGATATATTCATATTAAAAAATGTAAGTGGGATTAAGTAACATGAAATGTATGTAAACTACGAATATAATAGTTAATCATTACCATTTGTAATATCAGATAGAATTAAATTTGTGGGTGTAGTTGGTGATGTCGGTTTATTTGGTGTATATAATTCAAGATCTTTGAATCGAATTCCAGCTCTCTGCCTAGATCGAAACTCCTCTGTGTTATAAAAGTTTGATTTATCGATTGAAATTCCGCAAGAACCTGCATTTTTTTTCCGAAAATTCTTATGTATATTACCGGAATATATATAATAAGGATGCCCAATACTAACTTTTATTGATTGGACATTGTTAAATGATATTTGAAGCAGACATTTGTATTAACCGAATATATAAATGCATAATTTAATTGACCTGAGGGGTCTATTGGCTTCTTTCCCTTGTCATTTCTATTTGTTTGCATGTTATGTGTGTATCCATCATCTGTATGAATAAATTAAAAGTATTATTACATCCAATGGTAAATATATTATTGTATAACAAACGTAGGGAAACACATCGTGACAATATATAAATATAAATTAGCAAAAATAGAAAATAAAAAAAATGATACTAACCATTTGTCATAGCAGATAGAATTGAACTGTTTGTTGTGGTTGGTGTTTTCATAAAATTAGATGAGCACAATCCCACAGTTTTATTTCCATTTACGCAGCCATGGATCGATTGAAACTCCTTCATGGTCTCATTATTTGATTTATCTATCAAGTAAGACCCATATTAGAGTGAAATATTAATACCATGTTTAGTAAAATGAATACTTGTGAATATACACCATAAAGAAACAATTTTCACGAATTTATTTGCAAACAACAAAATATTTGTTACCTTTCACCGGTGTTAATGTTCTCTTGTTTCGAATATAATTTAAGCGATTTGTCCTTGCAGCTTTTGTGTCATGACTGTTGTTCTGGTCAAAAACATCTCGCGGGGGAACGTTTTCTTTCATAATTTGATTGTATATTCGTAAAAAATAAGATTAGAATGTGATACAAAAAAATGATGTAGCGTATTTATATAATTGCAATATTGTTATTAAATCTATTTAAGACCATAAAATCTTCAAATATTACAACTAATATAAAATGATTTATTAAGATCTAATTAATTGGCATGTTTCCGTATTAGTGGATTGTAATAATAACTAAATATATAATTTGCAAGATATGTAAGGCAAGAAATCAATTAGTTAATAATATATCTTATTTATAAGAATATATTAGGAGTAAATATATTCCTAAATTAGATTTTTGGTGGAACCTATTTTTAAAAGATTTAATACTCCTAAATTAGGAGTATTCATCGTAAATTTTAAAATAGATTTCACATTGTTTTTATATCCATTATTTACGTTTGTTCAATTATCGTATAAACCATGATTAATTTACTATTATTAATCTAATGTAGTCAGACCACATTATAATTCCTAATCGTACATTATAATATGTTAACTATTTTTTATTGCTGATTTTTATTTAGGGTAATAAATGTAGGATTTAAGTACTAAGATATAATTAATTTATTTTTGTTATTAAATTTCAATTCGGACTCCTTTTCCGGTTTAATTTTGCTATTTTTCTTTATTATTTTTGTTTTAATTTATTTTTATTATTTTTGATTTAATCTAATTTTGTTATTAAATTAATGGTAATACATATATTTGCGATTAAATTTTTAGTAGCAGTAAATAAAACTGAATTGGGTTAAATAATTAAAACAAAAATTTTGTTTTAGTTTTTTTTAGTAAATTATTTAACTAAATGTAGGCTATTTTGTTTGGTTGTTTTCTCTTAAATTATTTCTTTCGAGCAATTCTTTTGATTAATTGTTTAACATAATTATCCAATTAAAAAAATATTATTTTATACTATTTAGAATATAATAGTATTTATTATTTTAATATAACTTTTTTATATAAACAACATATAACAGTAGGTAAAAAAACATTTTTTTACGAAAAAAAAGTGGAAAAATTAGAGAGGAGAGATAGCACTTGTTTTTTACCGGATTCAATGGAGTAAAAGACACATTAGTAATTTGAGAAAAAAACATTCTACGAATTATATAAAAGAAATCTTAAAAATAGAATTATAGATTATAATATTAAATATTAATTCAAATAAATAAATAGTGCAAAATACCCAAAAAAACAAAAAGTAAAAGGTCTTAGCGAATAAAACCACAAACTAAGTTCGACCGAAAAAAAAACATGTCAAAGGAAACAATAAGTAATGCTTAAAACCAAGGTTGTTATTCCACTTTTTCCTGTTTGATCTTCTTCAAGAGAACATTGGTTGAATGCATTGGGGTATTCTCATCCTCTTGCGAATCAAGACTGAAATCCAGACTTCTCTTTATTGGAGTGATTTCAACTGCCGAGGAATCGAAAACTGAATCCTTCGAAACAGTTAAGGACTCGTTTTCCTATATTGAAATGTTACATAATCCATTAATAAAATACCATTGAACGAACTGTAATTAATTAATACTAATGTTTTAGTAAATTGGAAGACTACCAACCTTTGATGACAACATACAGACCGAAGAACTATCATCGACACTTGCATGGGGTGAAGTAATATTCACATGCGGCATATACACATGGAAATGGAACATATATTATAATAGGATATAAGAAA